CTTACAAATTAAGGGACATGCAGCTGAGGAGAAGAGGAATGTGCACACTGCCAGCATGCATACACACACACACACGAATGTGCACACTGCCAGCATGCATACACACACACACACACACACACACGCACGCGCATGCGCGCGCGCACACACACACACATGCGCACCATCACGCACTAATTTTTCAGAGAGACGACTCCTTGACCCGTCTAAAATTGCCGAAGGGGTCACTTGGGGTCATTCCTGGACCGCTTCAGACATCAGTTTCCATTTACAATATCTCCTCTGACCCTCCGCTGAACTGTGAATGTAAACAGATAATTATCGGGAAATGCAGCAACCAAGATGCTACTTGTTAGTTCAAATAAACAGAGCAAATTTTCCATTTACTATGTCTGTACTACTTACCAAAATCAATATCTCTGCAAGTAGCCTAAGTCAGATACAAAACACTCCAAGTAAATGATGTAAATTTATTTTCATGAGGTCTATTCATCTGAATTGATATTATTACTGAAAGTGAGAAGTCAGATGCTATAAGCAGGGGTGGATCCAGACATATTTTCTAACAGTCTTCCAAATTATCTTTGTTGATCCATCCTCCATTTTTGATTTGACAGTCTTCCGACAGAAAAAAATATATACTTGTCAATGCAACTTGAAAATCTGAATGTCCTGTCTTCCGGAAGACCCAGAAGACAGCCTCAATCCGCCCCTGATAAGAGAGGCTAAATAAAGCAGTGACTAGGGTAGTAACTCTTTGATCCTCTAAATTAATCTACATCATGAAAGTAACAAACGCAAGATCAGCAGTGCAAAGAGTTGAAAGTTACTTACTGTAAGAAATAAAAAATAATAAGTAAAATTAATAACTGACATTTATGGGTATAAAGAGGGGTTGCCATTTTAACCAAAGGCCATATTCAGTTCAAGAAAACAATCTTACAGTTCCAAGATCAGGATGGATTATTCCCCCCCCCCCCCCAACCCCCAAAAAATCTCAATGAAAAATTGATCATGATTTGAGAAATAGAATCATACCAAATGCAAATTCTCTCTCTGCAAAAAAGATTTTTTTTAAATAGCTATTGAAATGTTACCATTCTGTGTCTGTTTAAAACTCAAAATTCTTATATAAGAAGGTCCCGTTTAAACCTCTTGTAAGACTGATCCAGTGATTAATTTGGTTTATCCCTAACTGGTGTGTCAACTTTATTTTAAGTCATTCAAGAAACAAATAGGAGTGGTTTTAATGCATTACTGGGAATCTNCATTTGCTTCTAAATCTTTTCATTTACTCACTCCTTTACAACTACTTACTAGTACTTCAATCATTGAAAAATAAATTAATGAAAAATTGGGAGATGATACCCTAAAAATAAAGCCATTCCCAGCAATACACAGGCGGCTCACACCATTATCACCAAGAATTCTAACACAATGGACCTCCACAGCCAATTAGCTGAGCAAATTTGAGAAGATGCTTCACAGGCCCCACCCAGAGCTTGACAGACTGACTTTCTGGTAACTCCATCAATTTTGATTATGACTTCAGTGTTTCAAAATGGCCTGGCTTCAGAGCTTACATATTTTAAACCCATCTGCAATAACATGGAACTGTAGATGGTTGATACTGTGGGGGGTGGGGGTGGGGGAGGGAGACAGTCTAAAGAATCACCCTTTTGGACAGAAAAAGTCTGCTGTGGCTCAAAAATTTGATCTGGTTCTAGGCCTTTTCTGAAGTTGAGTCAACTATGGGTATGAAAAGGTACTTTTTTTACAATCCTGGTAAAAAAAAAAAACAGGTGAGTTTCCATCTAACCTTGAAAACCTGGCTGTGGGAGCTGTTTTGCTGAGAGGATCATGTCAACTTACAAATTAAGGGACATGCAGCTGAGGAGAAGAGGAATGTGCACACTGCCAGCATGCATACACACACACACACACACACACGCACGCGCATGCGAGCGCACACAAACACACACACACACATGCGCACCATCACGCACTAATTTTTCAGAGAGCCGACTCCTTGACCTGTCTAAAATTGCCTAAGGGGCCACACGGGGTCATTCCTGGACCACTTCAGACATCAGTTTCCATTTACAATATCTTTTCTGACCCTCCGCTGAACTGTGAATGTAAACAGATAATTATCGGGAAATGCAGCAACCAAGATGCTACTTGTTAGTTCAAATAAACAGAGCAAATTTTCCATTTACTATGCCTGTACTACTTACCAAAATCAATATCTCTGCAAGTAGCCAAAGTCAGATACAAAACACTCCAAGTAAATGATGTAAATTTATTTTCATGAGGTCTATTCATCTGAATTGATATTATTACTGAAAGTGAGAAGTCAGATGCTATAAGCAGGGGTGGATCCAGACATATTTTCTAACAGTCTTCCAAATTATCTTTGTTGATCCATCCTCCATTTTTGATTTGACAGTCTTCCGACAGAAAAAAATATATACTTGTCAATGCAACTTGAAAATCTGAATGTCCTGTCTTCCGGAAGACCCAGAAGACAGCCTCAATCCGCCCCTGATAAGAGAGGCTAAATAAAGCAGTGACTAGGGTAGTAACTCTTTGATCCTCTAAATTAATCTACATCATGAAAGTAACAAACGCAAGATCAGCAGTGCAAAGAGTTGAAAGTTACTTACTGTAAGAAATAAAAAATAATAAGTAAAATTAATAACTGACATTTATGGGTATAAAGAGGGGTTGCCATTTTAACCAAAGGCCATATTCAGTTCAAGAAAACAATCTTACAGTTCCAAGATCAGGATGGATTATTCCCCCCCCCCCCCAACCCCCAAAAAATCTCAATGAAAAATTGATCATGATTTGAGAAATAGAATCATACCAAATGCAAATTCTCTCTCTGCAAAAAAGATTTTTTTTAAATAGCTATTGAAATGTTACCATTCTGTGTCTGTTTAAAACTCAAAATTCTTATATAAGAAGGTCCCGTTTAAACCTCTTTAAGACTGATCCAGTGATTAATTTGGTTTATCCCTAACTGGTGTGTCAACTTTATTTTAAGTCATTCAAGAAACAAATAGGAGTGGTTTTAATGCATTACTGGGAATCTCCCCTGAACTAGTGCATGGTTCAAATGCATACATGTACCTTTAAGTTTTTATTCTCCTAAAACAAAATATTCCAAAGCATGGCCAAAAATACACTCAGAAATTGTAATAATAAGTTATTTATATCAATGTATGCTTGGGAAAAAAATCTAATAAAAATCTGAAAGCATTTGCTTTAATCTGCCTGCATTCTTTTATCTGTATACTGGTAGATACTCAGTAATACATTTTATACATCTGGTGAATTGAACATGTGCTTGACTTCAGTTAGGCAGCCATACTCCTTAGTGTATTCAGAAGTGTCAAGACCCCCATTCAAAGCCAAACATGATCAAAGCAATAATTACAGTACTCTGCTAGATAGATCAAAAGCTTATCATCTCAGGTAAAGCCCTAAAAGATGGAAGAACTTCTGAAGCCCTTTAAATCTGGGAAATAGCATTTCCTGACTCAAGAAATTTGTCAAGAGCCCTTTACACTTATTATGTGAGAGGTCCACTGCATGTAAATGCATGCAAACGCACATGAAATAATTTTAATACAAAACAATAAAAAATATAATTTATTTAAAAAACCTATATTGCATGCATTATTGATAAACACTTAATTTATGTCTTTATTTCCAAGTTGTAGATAAATGAATGGAAGAATCTAGCATTTACAGGCTGGATCCCTTGGGCTCTCTTTGATATTTCTGAATTTGTAGTTCATGTATATAATATTGACTTTTTAACATTCACACAATGCAGCGTATGCTAATGAAAGCAATATTTGACAACAGAATATTGAATGAAGTTACATTATTCATTTCCCGCCTCCAACAAAAACAAACAAAAACTCAAGTTCTAAACACTGCCCGCCTTTCCGTCAGGTATTACACAGCCGAGTTACAGCATGTTACGCAACGGTGATATACCGGCTGATGGGGATTGCTTTCGCTCCAGTGAGTCTAAAACGGCTAGACGTAATCGGTTCAATAGACCAAGAAAGGGGGTCTATTTATTGATTTCACTGACCTAATTTCCTAACCACAGAAGGCTTGTTACGAGCCGGTGCCCGTAGTTGACCGATAATCACGTGTAGGAGCTAGACCAGCTGTGAATGGGCTTCTAACAGGCACTAATTATGTAATTTAGGCGCGATAAGATCGTCACGGGGGCTGTCAGCGGGGTTCGGAGAGAGGAAAATAACAATAGAAATGATGCTTACCTCTTCCGCGTGTGAACAGGTTGCCGGAAGTAGCGTAAGGCGCATGCGTTCCAGCTGTATGATGGGATGCTTGCGGGAAATCTAACATCTTAGGATTTGTGATTTTTTGTTAAAACGATTCCTAATGTATTCCTTTGTACAGTCGATCATATTAATTTTGATGGGATAAACATGGTGTCACTGTCGTTATGTCTGTTAATGAGCTGCACAAACCATACAGTGGTTAAAACGTAAAGGTGAGGATGTGTGAAGTTTGTGGACTGCAGTTGCCTCCCCCCAAATCTACAACTTAAAAGTCTTAGATTTTCATGGTATTTGCAAATTCAGTTAACTTAAGAATTGAATTTCGTCAGTGTCTTTAAAATTTAAATTAATTGCAGTCAAATAATTCACTTAGTTTTGTTGTTTATTATTATTTATACATTTAAATTAATGAAATGCACAATAAATATAATGTCAATAATCTTGATTTATCAAGCATGGATGGTTGATTATTTTAATCACCTAAGTTGCATTTAAAAATTATAATAGTCTGTTTACTTTTCTGTTTCATCTTTTCAGACAAACAGCTTTCATCTTGTCAGATAATTAGCAACCAACAAAAGGTTGTTTGTGTTAAATAAAATGAAGATACCACATTTTGTTTGTATTCAGTGAAACCTTTCTAAAAGGAATTTGCTAACAAACAGATAAAGGCTTTTCTCAAAAGATCATGTCTCAAAGCTCCATGCTGGATGAGGTTGGGACGTGGAGGGAGACGGAATGTCAGGCCAGATGGCAGGAGGTGCTGCCAGAGCTCCTGGTATCCTTTCAGTGGTGGATTGGAATAATAATAATAATAATAATAATAATAATAATAATAATAAAATTTATTTAAAGGGGTAGAACATGTCAAGTGCAGACACTTATCTTACACATGGTCTTCAAACTGGATGTTTATATGATGATAATAACAATAATGATTTATTGATCACGAAAATGTTTTACATTTATAAGCTCTCTAACCTGCAACACAAATATAAAATGCACAGTTGTAAAATAGATAAAATCCCTTCTAACTAGTATATATTGAGTAGTATGCGAACAATACTGAAGTCTTGATGATTTTAAATTTTGTCCAATATATCAGTTTTCCTTAAGTTTCTTAGAACAGTTTTTCTGCAGTGGAGGATGGTTTGAAGGAAATAGGTATGATAATGTCACATGTTTGGTGTTTTAATTGAAACAATCTTAAATTGTCTTGAAGATTTTAAAGAAATGTATTTCTAACCCCTTTTATATATTTTTAACATTAATTTTTTTAATTACTTATTTATTCATTTTGTGTCTGCATACAATAGCCAGCTGATTGTGCAGATTCACTCTTGTTGCTGTATTTCATAGCCAGCTTAATGTGCAGCATTACCTCTAATTACTGTATTAAATGATTATTTCAGGTCTCCTTAAGTTGCTCTGCCAGTCCTTGGTCCCCCACATTCCCTCCACTGATCTGGAGAAACAAGTATTTAGCAAGATAGCAAATAAAGTAATGTTTTACAGAGAAAATCATTTTGAATTTTATATTTATTAGATATAAAGAAGCACATTACCCTAATAACGATATGGCATTTTCTATAACTTATGATTTTTTAAACAGGTAATCAGTAAAAATTCCGAAAAGTAAAATTCACAAAACAATCTTACAAAATTGAATATATATATATGACCTTTTTTTCTTGGCAAGTGCAGGTTGAGGAGAGTTTTCACAGACTTCTAGGAAATGTTGCGAGCCTGGTTAAGAACAACTCCAGGGATATATTGGAGGAAATTGCTCAGCAGTTGGAGGTAAAGTGGACATGTCTTAGTGTTGAACTTTCTCAGTTCAGTCATACCAGAGCCATGGGGGTTGTTTATCTCAAATAATTTCATATATTTGATCTTTTTGAGAGTGTGTTCTATAAATTAGTTTTTTTTCCAATAGTTTATCTCAAGATGAACAGTTTGTGTGTCAAAGTGTTTAATTTTTGATTTATTCAGTTTTTTTTATTATCAAATTATTTTTCACTCTTTTTATTTATGTAGTTTATATCCGTTTTCAGATGGCATCCACTCTAATAGACAGCATAGAGCAATGTGTAAAGTGTGTGTGTGGCGATTCAGAAGTTGAAATTTCTAGTTTCTTGTCTCTCTCCAAGGTGGTACTCTCTATCTTAAAGGAGTCTTATCAACACTGCAAGGTTTGTAGATCTAGATCTTGCAGTATACTTTAATGACATAGGGTGCTTTCCCAGAGCTTTAGATCGATCTAAGGATTAAGTTTTAGATCGACTTAACTCCCTGGGGGTTCACGCTAAATTGCAGTCAGCCGAGCGGGCACCATAGTTAATTACCCCCTTACAGCTTTTAGTAGGCGGGACAGACGCTTAAGCCGGCCAAGCTGACAGTAATCTAGTGAGACTCCCCACAGGGATAGATCGATCTAAAAATCTATGGAAATGGGGTGATAGTCCGTACTGGCACACTTTGAGAGATTGACAGCTTATCAATTACATGAGTGTATGCTGCTGTTTTGAAGACAATTTCCATAGTTTGATGGAACTACTTCTTAATGTAGAAATGAAACTTCATCTGTGTTTATATAAATTTTAGCATAGACATAAATGTATATTGGAAAGTAGATTTCTGCATACAATTAGTCGAATAGATAACAGGACTATAAAACTAGAAGATCACAGTGACATATCTCATTTCTAAAATCCACGTCGCTAGCAGTTTAAAAAATTTTGATTTTGGAAAGAAATAAAACATCATTTTCTTCAGACCAGTTCATCAGTGTATGGAGACCTGCTGGGGATGCTGTCAGAGGGTTTGTCTGCCATATTTAAGAAGACACACAGCTTGCAGATGGTATGTGCAGCCAAGTATAGAGCTTACCTTTTTTGCCACATTTACACAGCCTTTTTGTAATGGATATTATATTTGTCACCATGAAAATATGGATGTGGTACATGCTTTCTTATTTTATTATTTTTTATCAAAATGTTAAATAGAGGAGAGCTTTTAGTATAGTTTTTTTAAATTAAAATTTGCCTGTAGGTCTTTAACAAAACTGAAAATTTATCTTTACACTGGGTGATGGGTGGGGTGAAGTTTCAGTCAAGATAAAGTCCCAACTTTAAATTGGATATCGTTTCAGAGCTTCATATCCCTACTTGATAAGGTGGTGCTGGGGTCCACCTCAAGTGATGAAGACATTGAGCATTTCTGTGCTGGTAAGGTTAGACATCGGCTTGGTTTTGTACAAAGCCCAATAGTTGTGGGCTGATCCTAGACAGAAAAGGGTATAGCTAACTCTGTGAGGTGGACTTTGCCTTATTTGTCTAGGGGTGTTTTATGAATGATTGGTTCCTCATAAATGTAGTAGACATTTTTTCATGGACTGCTGTCACCAGAGAGAGTAAAGTTATTGGTAAGACGATCAGAGCTTGCTGTAGGGGCCTAGTTAAAGGTCAGTAAAATGAGAGAAGTGACCTTATAGATATTTTGTGAGAGGCAGCTTAGCTTAAATTTTTTAATTTTTCAACTTAGATTTGCTTTGAAAGGCAATTACAACGTTTTTCATTTCTATTTCTATTTGAACTGTTCAATATTTCAGTTTCCTCCACTTGATCAGCATGTGCATTTCTATCCACCTGATACTGGAGTTGAGAATGGCCATATTAACTATGTACAGACTAAATGATTGGTTTATTCTACTTTCCAGCTCTCCTCAATCTGCATGAATTATGTGCTATTGTAAACACCCTGGACGTCAAGATCACCATCACCACGTGGAAGGCAGTGTCAAAGTGAGTGTTGAAGAAATTAATGACATCACAAACCAATCATTTTAATCCATGTAGCTTTCTCTGTTTTATTTCCAAACTACTATGTCAGCAGAAAGTCCCTGTGCATTATTATTATTTATAAACCAAGTTGAAAGATGAATAAAAATCATAAACTAGCACAGTATTACCCATAGTGAAGAACATGGAAATAAAACGTTTAATATTTTTATTTATTTATTTATTTTATTTATTTATTTATTTTTTTTTTTCAGACTAGCATGTCAGCACAAAGATTCTCTAAGAAACAGACTAGATGTGTCTGTGCTGGTGACGTCACTCTGTCTGGAGGTGCTCACTTTGTTCAGGCACTTGTTTCAACTTGCACCACAGACTGATAAGGAGGGAAATGTTAGTGGAAGTACCATCTTTTTAAATGTTTTAAAATACAGCCTTCAAAATGAAGAAAGCCTTTAGAAATGTTATATAAAAATACAGCTTTTATTAATGTTATATTTTTTTAAACAGCCTGTCTTCTATTGAAATCATTAAAAAAAATTTTATCACATTTATGGAACCAGAAATTTGTGCTTTAACTGGGGCCTTTAGTATGTATGTAATTACATGGTTTAAGCTAGTTTTCTGTCAGTAACCACATTGCAATTAATATACTAAGAGTGCCAGTCTTTTTATGTACCTACAAAAGTATTTATTTATACATCAGAAAATCAGCTGCGGGGACCCCAAAGCATTCTCCAAGTCTGTCAAGGTCGCTGGTTTCCAGATGAAAGTTCTAGTGACGCTGGTGAAGGAATTTGAGGGTTACCTTGGCAACTGTGTCAGAGAGCTGTATCAGCTGTTACAGGAGCTACACAGGTTTGTTTGGATGTGGATACTCAGTACGGTATAATTCAAAATTTTAACATTTAAAATCCCCCGATATTTGGATAAACTTTTTTCAGCTCAGAAATTTATTTATTTATTTATTTATTTATATCCTACCAGGCACATGCCCCCATCACTTTCTGCACCCAGCATACCTAAACAATACACAGAAGACATAGAGAGACAAGTTACTATAGCAACAGAGCCAATGTTAACACATCTCCTTGGTAACAGAGAGTTCATTGAGTGCCTAATGGATACTGAGGGTAAGTGATGAAGAAAGCTTTATGCTATGCACAGATTTCAACATGGCGGTAAAAGTAAAGATGGTTGTTGTATGGACATAAAAATGTTTTCTTGAAATGGAACATAAAAATGCCTACAAATACTGCAATTAATGTGTAAAAAATTAAAATTCATGTCATTTTATATTTTGTCAATATGCACAAGCAGTTTCAAGGCTTGAAATATTTGCAATCTGCCAATTTTTCCAGGTTTTGATAAAGAAATGTGTCTGTCGAAGTGTTTGCTGCAGGTCAGAGTAATGGGACTACTTCCTAGATGTACAGGTTAGTGCTACACTACCACAGTGTTGACCAAGGTCTCATTGAAAGATGACGTTATTAAATTGCACTGGGATGGTTATTTTCTTTTCAAGTAGTCACTGAGTATTTAATCATTTTAGCTGAGGGCCTACAAGACATTTAATTACTGCAAAATTTTCAATGTTTCCCTTATTTATGAAATGAGGGAATTCCCTTTTCTTTTACTTTTCTGTCAAAATAAATTATCATTCGTGTTTTACGGAATTCATATCAAAATGCTGACATGTGCATATTAATCTTCATGTCTTGCTGAATTTATATTTTTGATTTCAAATATTTCAGATGGTGTAAAGGACCAGTGGACATCACCAAGGCTCTACCCAGAGGATAAACCTAGGGAAAACATCCTAAGTGGACTCTTCAGCTCTGTAGCAAACTGTAAGTGGAGTAAACTGTAGCCTGGAAATATCTTGTCTTGGTTGCACAGCGACTTCTATGGTCTTTGTTGTTGGCAGAGGACAAAAGAATCTGTGGTTTATGAACTGTATCGTGATTGTTTCTGTCTTTCTGGCTCTTGCTTAATGAGATGTATGATTGAATGATTAATTTTAAACATAAGGTTAGATGTTAAACTTGATCTCCCTTATTTGTAAGATGTTTTTAAAACAGTAAACACCTATGTCGCTTGGATATTATTGTCTCTGTATCTTACATTTTTTATAAAGTTCTGTATACATGCTGGGCCTATTGTCCAGTCATTATGAAGCACCTTCAAAACTGTAATATTGAGATTGTTTTTTAATTACTTGTATGGCTGCTACAGTTAATGTGATGATGAGAACTGTGAATAATGGAGTTGACCAGAATATTTTGATTTGTTAAGGTTTTGTAGAACTGTCATTACCAGTCAAGTTACCTGGGATTATGTGCAATGGAAAGCCCCAAAGGTAAATCAAGACTAAAACAAACACTTACATAATTTTTGTGCAAAATGCTATTAGATGTTATTTATTTTGACCAAAAAAAATTATAATAATAAGTACCTCCTGTTAATTCCAAGTCAACTAGGATTCTTAATGGTAAAATGAACTTTGTTTCACTATACATTGGTTATTTTATATTCAGGGAAGTGAGTCTTTACGAGCATATCTGCAGCAGGCTGTGTGGTTTTGTGGGCAGTTTATCTGCCAGACACTTCAATGTGTTGGTAAGTTAACAGCTAACAGCTCAAATTCTTTTATCTTGAAGAAACAAATGCTGCGGTTTGAATTTTTTTTTTTTTTTAGTTAGCTGAAATTTTGTAAATATTTTAACAATACTGTGTATTATAAACATTGTTTGTGCTGATTTGCTTGTATTACTGTGAATAATGAGAATGTATATACCTAAAATATGTTTTCCTATCATGTGTGTCCCTTCTCTATTGGGATTTTGTATTTTAAAACGGACCCTCAACCTTCCCACTCTCTCCCCTCCTCCCTCTATCTTAATTCTGCTACTCTAGATCAGCCTGTAACAAACTTTTAGTACATGTGTTTGAAAAATAAAGTTATGAAGATTTGCCTCCGCTTTCAGGAAAAGTGCCTTTTAGAGAATGTTCTTGGCAGAAACTTATATTGTGCATTACTTGCCATAGATGTATGGTGTTTTGTAGCCAGGTAAATAGAGTGATTTGATATTGAGTGTTTTATATACTGATATTTTGCTGAATGCCCAGTGATATATTTGCAGTAATTAATGCAGTAGATTCTGCATAACTCAGCTTGTAATGAAATAAGAATAAGATGCATCAATTTTTTTATGTTTGAAGTCTGAATGGATTTAATATTTTCATTAAGAGGTATAAAATGGTTGAAATACACTCAGAATAACATCAAATTATATTTACTTCTTTTAGACATTGGATTTTTAACAATTTTCCCATCAATATCAGGTATGGGACAGCAGAGGTATGTCACGCCCACATCTGTCTGGTAGCTAAGTTAATAGACAGCCAGCAGTGGAACTGTAGTGTACAGTATCTCCACCTGGTGGCACTGTTCACAAGACTGGTCAAGTTCCAGGCACAGGAACACCAGGTAGGGCTCGTATATTTGCTAATAATAATAATAATTAATTTGAAAAAAGAAATCTGCATAATGTATCAATCTGACAACATGCTGGTCCCATGATATATGCCACGAAAAATCTTAGCCAGCCTATAAAAATTGTAGAAATATGTGTAATTAGCAGAGCTTGTTTAAAACCGAAAAGTTTTTTTTTTTTTTTTTTCCCTGAAATCAGTCTTGAGTGGCCCCCAAAGCCCCTGTCGTGAGGCTACCAAACCAAAATTATATCTCAGAAAATGCCGATGTTTTTGCTTTGGGTCTGTACACTGTAAGATCTTGGTGGTTTCAAGGGCCCGTAGGCAAGTAAATTTCTGATAGAGACTGATGTATTTTGGAGTTCATGGTTACATATGTACATATGATATTTAAGAGGCTTAAGCACAAAATCTTTTTTAAGTACTTGACCAAAATTAATGCAGAGTTTCTGATGTGAATACCATTATATGTATTGCACTACACTTTCCAGGAGGCATTTTTGCAAACATTCCCTCCAGTAAACCACTTGGTTCTGTGGTCACACCTGCCATTGACTGCACTGCCATCTATACTTCTGCAGCAGGTCATTGATCTTGGGGTCACCAAGTGCACAAAGGTCATCAATGATTGGAATAGCAGTAGCAGTAAGACCTTAGGAAAAACAAGGGAATTGGTATGTATAGATATTTCATTTTTGAACCATTGCTTTGAAGAATTGGGAATGTACTTTTTTATTGAGGTAAATAAGGTTGCCTCACAAGATAA